ACACCGGCAGAAGCCAGGCTGTCAGGTCAGGGCTTGCAGCTCCATCGCTCCGTGCGTATGCCGGCATGCACCGGCAGGCCCGCCAGGACGCCTGCGGCCCCAGCCTTGCCGTGGGGCAGCTCTGGCCCTGTCACAGCTCTCCCCATCTGCTCCTTACCTGATCTCCGGGGTCCCCGGGCAGCCCTGGGAGCCCTGGTGGTCCCAGGGGACCTGTTTCCCCCTGCGGAGAACACCATGGAAGCATGTTAACCCTTTGTCATCTCCAATCCCTCCCCACAGCAGCCCCTCGCTCCTCACCACAGGGCCTGGGGGTCCTGGCGGCCCCTCGAATCGCCGACCCTAAAGAAGAGAGCGAACCCTGTCCTGCAAACCGTCTCAGATGGGTGGCCCTGGGGTGTCGCAGAGGGCTGGGGGCCACACAACCCCAAGGGGGGGCTGTGCCCCACTCACCGGCTCCACGATGGCTGGTTCACCCTTCTCCCCCTTCAAGCTGGGCTCCTGTAAAACACCGAAACGGCCAAGAGCTTGGGCTGGGGTGAAGGGCTCCAAGCTGCCTACGTGGCCCCTGGACCCGGTATCGTGGCCCCAGCTTGGGCAGGGGGGCTCAATCCTCATCCCCAGCATTACCTGAGGAGCCTGGATCACCGTCTCCTCCCGCTCAGCGGGTCCAAACCGCTCCCGGCTCGCAGGGTCCCCATCGTAGTAGTCCTCGTAGCCCAGCAGCTCCGTGCTGCCAGCCCCAGCAACTCCATCCTCCTCAAGTTCAAGCACAAGCTCCTCACCAGTGTCCTAAGGGACAGGGGAGATGCTGGGGTTGCAAAGCAGGGGGACGTCCCCCGCCTGCCCCAGCCCCTAGCCCTGGTGCTACCTTGAAGGGGTCCGTGCCGTTCAGGGTGACGCTCACGGTGGTGGCAAGGCTGGAGGGAAGCGGCGGCGGGGAGCTCTCCTCCGCGGACGGCGTCGGCGTGGGTGCGCTGGCCTTGGGCGATGCGGAAAGGGCGCAGGGTGAGGAAGGGAGCGCTGCGGCAGAGGGAGGTGCTGGCCCATGACCCCTGTGGGGTCCTGCAGGGGGATGCCCTGCTCCTTGGTGGGGGCGAGGGGGGCCACGGTCGGACTCGGGATGTCCCCATCCCACCACAGCCCCTTTCTGGGTTTTGGGACAGTGGAGCTGTTCCCTTTTTGGGACAAGGCACTGGGACTCCTGATCCTTGGGGACCGCCGGCTGGCGGCGATGCTGGGGCAGAGGGGACGGCGAGGAGGGCTCGGCA